GTCTATAGCTAGTTAATTAAGATTTGGTCGTCACAGGCTCTGGGTTATATCACTGTAAAGTTAACTCTGATTTGGTCATCACAGGCCCCAGGTTATATCACTGTAAAGTTAACTCAGATTTGGTCGTCACAGGCCCCAGGTTATATCACTGTAAAGTTAACTCTAATTTGGTCATCACAGGCCCAAGGTTTTATCACTGTTAAACTTAACTCAGATTTGGTCGTCACAGGCCCCAGGTTATATCACTGTAAAGTTAACTCAGATTTGGTCGTCACAGGTCCAAGGTTTTATCACTGTAGTCTAGTTAACAAAGATTTGCTCGTCACAGGCTCCAGATTATATCACTGTGAAGTTAACTCAGATTTGGTCGTCACAGGCCCCAGGTTATATCACTGTAAAGTTAACTCAGATTTGGTCGTCACAGGTCCAAGGTTTTATCACTGTAGTCTAGTTAACACAGATTCGGTTGTCACAGGCCCCAGGTTATATCACTGTGAAGTTAACTCAGATTTAGGCTTCTCAGGCTCAGACTACCATCAAACTCACAGGTTAATTACATTGTATATCGCTCAGGGATCAACATTTTTTGCCTTTTTGCTGATTTCTGTCTTTGCAGAATTTTAGTTTAATGCAAACTTTAATATTTTTCCACACAAAGATTTTTTCAGCCTTTCTGCCCATAAGCCAATTTTCATCTAGTATTAAATAGCTTGGCCTGCTTCATTGAGCTAGAAATTATGTGATGTATAAATATATCTACTTGATTGATATGTATATGTATAAACATGTATATATCCTCTCCTCGTATTTATAAGTTGGATAGTTATGAAACTCATTGCTTCTGAACAAACTCAAATATTAACAATGAGTGTCTATTTGGACTATTACTGATACAACTGGGATAAGTTTTGCTAATATGTAAAAAGGATGTAAGAACTCTCCAAGACAAAAGCTATTTTCTTCCCAGGCTATATAAACATGGTATCAATTATGATATGGTGATACTCCTCAGTATAAATATGGTTCAAATTATGATAAGCTGATAATTTTACTCAATCAGCTTAATACAAGAAATAGTGAAATATAAAAGAGATTTACACGGAATCGCGCCACATCAAATTGGCCTCCTCAGACACCTTCGGGAACGAATAACCAAATCGATACCTCATTATTGTGGTAAATTACGACAAGTGCGCACAGAAAATGGCTGTGGTTGCATTTCTGTAACTAGGCATTGGGCCCCACCATTATGACCTCACGCTGTGAAGTTGTCCAAGGATGCCAAGTGAATATTGACCCCTAAAGGGTTGCAGTGATGCAGTTATTGTGTAGGACTGAGACTGAGTGTGGGGAAAGTATGACAGAAATGTGTTGGGTTAAGAGTGAGTGTGAGGAGGGTAAAACATAAAATGTTGGACTGAGATTTGGACTGGGGAGGGTATCAATATGACACAATTGTGTTTGACTGAGATTTAGGGTGAGATAAGGATATGGCATAATTGTTTCAGACTGAAATTGAGGGTGGGGAGGATATGACATTGTGTTGGACTGAGATTGAGGTTGCAGACCTAGAGGGTAATATATATATATAGCACAATATTGTGGATTCTCAGTATCCATGGGACTGAGATTGTGTTGGGTGGGAGGGGGTGTATAACACAGCTGTACTGTGTAGAGATTGAGGACTGTGGGTAGATTGGTATGACACAGTTGTATTGGACTGAGATTGTGTTGGGTGGGAGGGGGTGTATAACACAGCTGTACTGTGTAGAGATTGAGGACTGTGGGTAGATTGGTATGACACAGTTGTATTGGACTGAGATTGTGTTGGGTGGGAGGGGGTGTATAACACAGCTGTACTGTGTAGAGATTGAGGACTGTGGGTAGATTGGTATGACACAGTTGTATTGGACTGAGATTGTGTTGGGTGGGAGGGGGTGTATAACACAGCTGTACTGTGTAGAGATTGAGGACTGTGGGTAGATTGGTATGACACAGTTGTATTGGACTGAGATTGTGTTTGGTGAGGGGAGGTGTATAACACAGCTGTACTGCGTAGAGATTGAGGACTGTGGGTAGATTGGTATTACACAGTTGAACTGCTCTTTAATTCTCCCCTACTGCATCAAAGCTATAGCTTCTCAATGCTATAGATCTACAAACACATGTATATTGATTTTCATGTATTTTTACCAGCTGTGACATGAATTAAAAAATACTTCATTTGTCAATTATTGAGAAGTCTACAATGTTAATCATTCGTTTTTTAATCAATGAAAACAATTGTAGAAATAAAATCACATTATACAGTTAACATGTTTTAAAGTTTATCGTGACCCCCAAAGGACTTAGAATGATGTTTATAACAAATCCTTAGGGACCAATAGCAATGTTTATTACATGGATGGTCCTCAGGGGACCAAAAATGATTTTTAAAACAGTAATCCTATAGGGACCTAAAACAATGAAACCTGAGGGACCGAAGACATATTAATAACCAATACTAGAGGATTAAAAGATATAACATGGCTATGAATTTCTTTACAGATTGATGTTCATGAAACAACTTCTGGTGAGAGGACATCTTTTAGACGTTGTTAGCTCACCTGGCCCATAGGGCCAAGTGAGCTTATGCTGTGGTGCTGTGTCTGTCGTCCATCCTTTGTTCGGCGTCAATATTTTACTTTAAACAACTTCTTCTTAATAACCTAAAGGCCCAGGATGTTGATATTTGGCCAGTAGCATGCTAGGATGAAGGGCTACAAAGTTTCTTCAAATGAATGACCTTGAAAAAATTTCAAGGTCTCAAGGATCAAATATGCTAAAAACTTTTAACAACTTCTTCTGAATAACCAAAAGAACCAGTATGGTGATATTGGCCAGTAGCATGCTGGGATGAAGTTTGTTCAAATAAATTACCTTCACTCATATTCAAGGTCACAGGGGTCAAATATGTTAAAAACTTTGAACAACTTCTGAATAACCCAAATGCCCAGGGTGATGATATTTGGCCAGCAGCATGCTGAGATGAAGGGCTATAAAGTTTGTTCAAATGAATGACCTTTGCCCATATTCAAGGTCACAGGGGTCAAATATGTTGAAATCTTCAAACGTCTTCTTCTGAATAACTAAAGCATACAGGGTGATTGCTTGTTGATGTGAATGACCTTGACATACTTTCATGGTCACATCTGGTCCATAGTGCATAAATCTTTAAAAGTCATCTTCTCAATAAACAAAAGGTATAAGGTAGTCGCTTCTCTACAGCTCAGTCCACAGTAGAATCAAGCTCCTTCTCTAGGTCTATTCTATTTCAAGTCTTAGAGTCAAGTCGCTTCTCTGCAGTTCAGTAGAGTCAAGCTTCTTCTCTAGGTCTATTCTATTTCAAGTCTTAGAGTCAAGTCGTTTCTCTGCAGTTCGGTAGAGTCAAGCTTCTTCTCTAGGTTTAGAGTATTCTATTTCTCATCTTCTCCATAAATACTTAAGAGTCAATTATAGTTGTTTCTCTGGAGTTCGGCAGAGTCAAGCCTCTTCTCTAGGTGTCTTTTTGGAGTATTGATGTTAAATTTTAAGTTGAAGTTGTATTAAGGGTATGATAAGCAAGTAGAATGAGTAGCCCCTGATATGCCAAATGTTAATAATGTATACATGTACTTCTCAGTGTATCTTATTCATGTTTTAGCTAACATGTGTAATAAACAGATAACTGTTTATCGTGTTTTAGTTGTATATAAAAGGTGATGATATTTCGCAAGTTGCATTCTGGGAGGAAGGGCTATGAAGTTTGTTCAACTTAATGTTCATGTTTGACTTTCAAGGACACAGGGGTCAAATGTGTTTTAATTGTTTAACAGGTTCTTCTGAATGACTTGAAGTCAAGACTGATATTTTGCCTGTAACTTAATTTTAGTCCACTTTTAAGGTTACAATTGTGAGATTAATACCAGGTGAGCAATCCAGGCCCATTGGGCCTCTTGTCTTTAGGTGAAATAGTTATTGCCATAGCCCGTAGCATTACAAATTGAGATTAATTTCACCCTTGGGATATATCCTTGACAAAGCCCATTTATCAGCACTCTGGTTGAATTTTCTTATGTTCTTAAACACAAATTTAATTCAGATAAAAAGGGCTCTAAATCTTTTCCAAGAGGCTGGGATCAGTCCTAATAAACATATAATGCTATTTTAAGTCTGTTATAGAATGGGCAATATTATTGATATCTAATTTCTAAATTAGCGAAGGAACCAGCGGGAATATTAATACAGTGAATCAGTGAACAATTTAACACATAACAGCAGACAGTGAATCTATGTTGTAAGGAAGTAAGCTTTTGTATGTAAAACCATTTAAGAAAGTATACTTACAAATGATTTATTTTATACAGTACCCTATATTTGTAATTCAAAAGGAGAATTATAGAAGAGATTGTGGCTATTAAAAGCATGATTTGTAAGATACCTTTGTTATTTACTCTCACACTATAAATGATGGTTACCGATAAGTGAAACATTGAAATATGAATTTGTCTTATTAAAATCTGAAGTTTAAATATTTTTACTCATTGAAAAAGATTTGTTAACATTTTTATCACTATTCATAGCAGAGGGAGGGAGCTTATAGAAATAATGATGTGAAGATTGAATACAGTATGATAATTCAATTTTAACAAATTGCTCACTTTTGACCTTGCTGTTGAACATTCATCTAAATGAAGAATATGTTGTATTGCATATAATGTCCCCTGGGAGATGCAAATCTTAAAAAATTGGAATTATTGCTTTCTGCTTAATGTTCAGTTTTGAATGGGTGGCAGAAACGATTTGTAAGCCTGTCGGTATAATTATAATGCGATGGCACTTTAAACTAAAGGTCCCATCATCCATGGAGACCATTCTTCATATGATCTAAGCTGTTAAGAGGACGCAAAACCCTAAACAAACAAATATTTGATTTAACCTTTCACAGTTTTATTACTATTTGTTGTGTTTCTGTTATGTAGGAGGAATCACAGGAGGAATAGAGATCTGTATCACATTTCCGACAGAGTATGTCAAGACACAGCTACAACTGGACGAGCGGTCAGGGGCATCAAAGCGTTACCGGGGACCGGTCGACTGTGTAAAAGTCACAGTCAAAGAACGTGGTGTACTGGGATTATACAGAGGGCTTAGTGTGCTGCTGGCAGGCTCTATACCAAAGTCTGCTGTAAGGTAAGAACTAAATACAATACAAACCTCAGCCTCTATACCAAAGTCTGCTGTAAGGTAAGAACTAAATACAATACAGACCTCAGGCTCTATACCAAAGTCTGCTGTAAGGTAAGAACTAAATACACTACAGACCTCAAACTCTATACCAAAGTCAGCTGTTAGGTAAGAACTAAATACAATACAGACCACAGGCTCTATACCAAAGTCAGCTGTTAGGTAAGAACTAAATACAATACAGACCTCAGACTCTTTACCAAAGTCAGCTGTTAGGTAAGAACTAACAAGTATATTGACTTCCACCAGTACAGATTTCCTATATAAGGTATATATAGAGATATTCTTACAGAAAGTATAGTATAAGTCACTTCAGTGATCTCTTACAGTTTAGACAGAATTACTACACAAATATGTTTCTATCAATGGTAAGACGTTTGTATATCATCATATTGATCATAGATAGCCTTAATCCTCCACCACTCGGTGTTAGCTATATATCTATTCAAAACATTAAGGTCTATAGCCTTTTCCTTTCACATAGACACAAAGACCACGCCTGTACTATGGAAAGTTTAAAATCTGTTCAATAGACATACAACTTAGGTTTATAATCACAAATATAATGTTAACAAGCAAACACAGGACAACTTGTCTACTAGGAATCAGTGTTGTTCTTCCTGATGACCTGTCTTAAAAAAAGTGCTTGCACAAGTTTTGTGTAAGAATATAAATGTGTAAGCTGTTCTTTATAGACAGGTTGTGTGTTAGAATATAACAGTGAAAGCTGTTCTTTATAGACAGGTTGTGTGTTGGAATGTAACAGTGTAAGCTGTTCTTTATAGACAGGTTGTTTGTTAGAATGTAACAGTGAAAGCTGTTTATAGACAGGTTGTGGGTTAGAATGTAACAGTGAAAGCTGTTTATAGACAGTTTGTGTGTTAGAATGTAACAGTGAAAGCTGTTCTTTATAGACAGGTTGTGTGTTAGAATGTAACAGTGAAAGCTGTTTATAGACAGGTTGTGTGTTAGAATGTAACAGTGAAAACTGTTCTTTATAGACAGGTTGTGTGTTGGAATGTAACAGTGAAAGCTGTTCTTTATAGACAGGTTGTGTGTTAGAATATAACTGTGTTAGCTGTTCTTTATAGACAGGTTGTGTGTTAGAATATAACAGTGTACGCTGTTCTTTATAGACAGGTTGTGTGTTGGAATGTAACAGTGTAAGCTGTTCTTTATAGACAGGTTGTGTGTTAGAATGTAACAGTGAAAGCTGTTCTTTATAGACAGGGTGTGTGTTAGAATATAACAGTGAAAGCTGTTTTTTATAGACAGGTTGTGTGTTAGAATATAACTGTGTTAGCTGTTCTTTATAGACAGGTTGTGTGTTAGAATATAACAGTGAAAGCTGTTCTTTATAGACAGGTTGTGTGTTAGAATATAACAGTGAAAGCTGTTTTTTATAGACAGGTTGTGTGTTAGAATATAACTGTGTTAGCTGTTCTTTATAGACAGGTTGTGTGTTAGAATATAACAGTGTAAGCTGATCTTTATAGACAGGTTGTGTGTTAGAATGTAACAGTGAAAGCTGTTCTTTATAGACAGGTTGTGTGTTAGAATATAACAGTATAAGCTGTTCTTTATAGACAGGTTGTGTGTAAGAATATAACTGTCACACATCATTGAGACTGCTAACCGATTTCCTCGTAGACCAGGCTGGGACTATCATATTGTGTCAAATTCCATAAATCAGCTTCTGTATCGATTTTTGTAAAGACCAAGGGAAATTGATTATCAAGACAAGAAAATTTAATGCACCAATAGTTTTAATTAGTAGCCAATAACTCAAACTGCGGTACATCGATTGTGTTGGAAGCACAAGCTTTCTTGGGTCAGTGTTTTATATTGTCTTACCAGGCTGTGTTAGTGTTGTTTATTGTTGTGTAATGTGTTGTTAGGTTTCTATCAGACAGAATCAATAAAACATTAATTGTCAATCATTGGTGCTACACGGCGATAGTGATTTCTCCACTCAGTGTTACAGTAGGCAGAGGGATAGCAAACCCTGATAGAATGGTCAGTTTAGTATGCTTACTTGATGTAGGAATGGTTTTATTGGCATAAATGATTAATCTTGGTTACTTACTTCGTTTTTCATCATTGTGAATAGATGCTTGAAACCTGGAGAAACAGACACAAGTCTAGCTGTAGTACATTGTCATGATTATAAATGATTTGGTAAACATCATATTAGGTTATACCAACTGAACACTTTCCCATAACATCATTAATGCTTTCTTATTGAGAATCTCAAGTCAAGGAATTGCGTTAAGTAAGGAAATGTGGTCAAACTTAAGGGCAATTTTCCTGATTTCAACTATTTTGATGGGCCAGTTCATTGAATTTGTATACGCCCGTCAAATGTGACGGGAGTATTATGGTATGGGATCGTCCGTCCTTCCATCCGTCTGTCCGTCGTAAACTTTTGTTTGTCCGGCAATCTCCTTCTACATTTTTCGACCAATCTCTTTGAAACTTGGTATACATTATAATCATGATATGAAGTTGTGTCTCCCTTAAAAGAATTTTGTTTCAACAATTTTTCCCAAAGTTATTGCCCTTTGTTCATTTTAGTATACAATTTTTGTCCGGCAATCTCCTCCTACATTTTTCAACAGATCTCTTTGAAACTTGGTATACATTATAATCATGATATGAAGTTGTGTCTCCCTTAAAAGAATTTTGATTCGACGATTTTTGCAAAAGTTATTGCCCTTTGTTCATTTTCAGTATTTGATTTTTTGTCCGGAGATTTTCTCCTACATTTTTTTATAGCATGCCAGCTAACGACTCTTAGAATGATGCAGATCTTATTTTAATTTAAGAAAGTATATAACGCTATAAGACATTCGACGGACGTATATTGTTTCACCCCACGGTACTCTTGTTCTCAAATGTTAAGGACCATTTTAGTTTTGAATTTTTCCTAGATTGTGATAAAAGCTTATACAACAGTTATTTATGAGAAAAAATCTTATCAATAAAATTTTATGCATAAAGAGCTATGAATTTAATTAACGGAATTGATCTTATCAAGTATGATGTTACTGTGATTAAGTTTGTATTACAGAGGGTCAAGGTCACTATTATTGTTACTATTTATAGTAACGGTAAATTGTCAAAAAGTGAAACTAAATTCAAATGTTTTGGCATTCATGTCTTACAGATATTTTCTAGCTAATATTTTGATATTCATTGTGTGACTTAAAGAGTTGCTTGATATTCATTGTGACTTAACGAGTTGCTTGATATTCATTGTGACTTAACGAGTTACAATGAAAAATGATGTCATTAAATCAGGGTAAAAGAAAAAAATCATGCACCAATTTGTTTTGTGATTTTACTAGTTAAATTTGTGCTATGAAGATAATTAAAGAGAGTCTCTAAATCAAAACCCAACTCTGTTCAACTTTCAGGAATATCCATTTTTTTGCACTTAAATCATATCATTGGGAACTTCTTTGAAATCTTTTGTTATTTCATGTGACAGTGATTGATGATCTGTTTCTTCTCTTCCAGGTTTGGTGCTTTTGAACAATTTAAAAGTATGAATGTAGATGAGAAAGGAAATTTGGCCCCTGCCAAGAGAGCCATGTGTGGAATGGGTAAGTTAACTGGCCAAGTGATTAGTCATTAGTCCAATTAGTCAAGTCTATCATTCAATAGTGGAGCTGAATTTGAAATAGTTTCTTGATTGATGAAAGGATTGATGATTACTTACAGGTGCTGGTGTGTGCGAGGCCATCCTGGCTGTGACCCCTATGGAGACACTCAAGGTCAAATTCATTAACGACCACACGTCAGCAAACCCTCAATTCAAAGGTTTCTTCCATGGCAGTAATCAGATCATCAGGACGTACGGTATGTATCACACCTGTCTGGTACCATACAACAGTGTAATCAGATCATCAGGACGTACGGTATGTATCACACCTGTCTGGTACCATACAACAGTGTAATCAGATCATCAGGACGTACGGTATGTATCACACCTGTCTGGTACCATACAACAGTGTAATCAGATCATCAGGACGTACGGTATGTATCACACCTGTCTGGTACCATACAACAGTGTAATCAGATCATCAGGACGTACGGTATGTATCACACCTGTCTGGTACCATACAACAGTGTAATCAGATCATCAGGACGTACGGTATGTATCACACCTGTCTGGTACCATACAACAGTGTAATCAGATCATCAGGACGTACGGTATGTATCACACCTGTCTGGTACCATACAACAGTGTAATCAGATCATCAGGACGTACGGTATGTATCACACCTGTCTGGTACCATACAACAGTGTAATCAGATCATCAGGACGTACGGTATGTATCACACCTGTCTGGTACCATACAACAGTGTAATCAGATCATCAGGACGTACGGTATGTATCACACCTGTCTGGTACCATACAACAGTGTAATCAGATCATCAGGACGTACGGTATGTATCACACCTGTCTGGTACCATACAACAGTGTAATCAGATCATCAGGACGTACGGTATGTATCACACCTGTCTGGTACCATACAACAGTGTAATCAGATCATCAGGACGTACGGTATGTATCACACCTGTCTGGTACCATACAACAGTGTAATCAGATCATCAGGACGTACGGTATGTATCACACCTGTCTGGTACCATACAACAGTGTAATCAGATCATCAGGACGTACGGTATGTATCACACCTGTCTGGTACCATACAACAGTGTAATCAGATCATCAGGACGTACGGTATGTATCACACCTGTCTGGTACCATACAACAGTGTAATCAGATCATCAGGACGTACGGTATGTATCACACCTGTCTGGTACCATACAACAGTGTAATCAGATCATCAGGACGTACGGTATGTATCACACCTGTCTGGTACCATACAACAGTGTAATCAGATCATCAGGACGTACGGTATGTATCACACCTGTCTGGTACCATACAACAGTGTAATCAGATCATCAGGACGTACGGTATGTATCACACCTGTCTGGTACCATACAACAGTGTAATCAGATCATCAGGACGTACGGTATGTATCACACCTGTCTGGTACCATACAACAGTGTAATCAGATCATCAGGACGTACGGTATGTATCACACCTGTCTGGTACCATACAACAGTGTAATCAGATCATCAGGACGTACGGTATGTATCACACCTGTCTGGTACCATACAACAGTGTAATCAGATCATCAGGACGTACGGTATGTATCACACCTGTCTGGTACCATACAACAGTGTAATCAGATCATCAGGACGTACGGTATGTATCACACCTGTCTGGTACCATACAACAGTGTAATCAGATCATCAGGACGTACGGTATGTATCACACCTGTCTGGTACCATACAACAGTGTAATCAGATCATCAGGACGTACGGTATGTATCACACCTGTCTGGTACCATACAACAGTGTAATCAGATCATCAGGACGTACGGTATGTATCACACCTGTCTGGTACCATACAACAGTGTAATCAGATCATCAGGACGTACGGTATGTATCACACCTGTCTGGTACCATACAACAGTGTAATCAGATCATCAGGACGTACGGTATGTATCACACCTGTCTGGTACCATACAACAGTGTAATCAGATCATCAGGACGTACGGTATGTATCACACCTGTCTGGTACCATACAACAGTGTAATCAGATCATCAGGACGTACGGTATGTATCACACCTGTCTGGTACCATACAACAGTGTAATCAGATCATCAGGACGTACGGTATGTATCACACCTGTCTGGTACCATACAACAGTGTAATCAGATCATCAGGACGTACGGTATGTATCACACCTGTCTGGTACCATACAACAGTGTAATCAGATCATCAGGACGTACGGTATGTATCACACCTGTCTGGTACCATACAACAGTGTAGACTTTCCAATCTACAGACAGAAAAGTCAAATCAAGATGCCAGGATGGGAATTACCTCAAAAATTTAGAAGAAGATTTGTTTTTTAGGTCACCTGAGACAAAGTCTCAAGTGACCTATTGCGATCTTTTGTCCGTCGTCGTCCGTCGTCCGTCGTGCGTCCTTAAACAATTTACATTTTCGACTTCTTCTCCAAAACCCCTGAACCAATTTCAATGAAATTTTGCAGGGACCTTCCATGGACAAAGGTCAACAAAAATAGTGGCCGGTTTAGTCCCAAGCCCCCAGGGGCCTGAGGGGC